ATTCAAGGAGATATTACTTTAGATAAGACCTACAAATGTCCAAAAAAGCACATGAAAAGGTGTTCAGCATCATTGGTCATCAGGGAATGCGAATCAGAATCACAATGAGATGCCTAGGTATTGTTGTGACTTATTTTATTAAGGAAAATAACAAGTGTTGGTGAAGATGTGGAGAAGTTGGGACACTTGTACACTGAAGATTGGAAGAAAATCTGATTGAGCCTCTGTTGAAATCATATTGGCAGCTCCTCAGGAAGCTGCAGGTGAAATGACCACATAACCTAGCAATTCCATTTCTAGATAAATACTCAAAAGAATTGGAAAGAAGTACTCAAGTCCATGTTCATAGCCAAATGTACAAGAGTTATAGCCAAAGATGGAATCAGCCCAAATGCCCATCAACAGATGGACAGACAGACAGAAGAAGATCCACACAATGCTATGTCATAAAACTAAGGAATGGAATAAAGTGCTGACCCAGGGTACAATACCAAGGAACCTAGAAAACATTGTGCTAGGTCAAGGAAGACAGGTGCCGATGGTTCCATTCACAAGAAATAGTCTGACTAGGAGGGTCCGTGCACAGAGAGCCCAGGTGGCAGCTGGCAGAATCCTGGGGAGAGGGGTGGTCAGCAACCACTGGATGGTGGAGGGACCTACTTGGAGTAAATGAAGGGAGTGCTGTGGAACGAGATGGAGGTGGTGGCTGTGTGTGTCGTGCGACGCCGTGAGTGTGCTCAGTGCCACCCAACGATTCCTCTTAAAACCATCAACTTCATGTTATGCAAATGTCACCTCAAACATTATTTTTTAAAGATCAGCCATGTGCACGCCCCACAGGGAAGGTTGAAGAATGTCTGCATATGACGTGCTGATGGCGGTTCTGTCCAGGACGTAGGACCAAAGCTGGGGAGCAGGAAGGCAGAGCCCCGTTCTGGAGCCTGGTCCACACTGGCCCTGGTCACTCTCCAGCTGTGTGGTCATGGACAAGTTCTTTGAACTCTCTGTCCCACAGAGCTGGTAAGAGGACAAGAGAAGCCTTTAAGGCCAGACTCAGCACCCATCAGCAACAATTAGGGTAACTTTAATTTTTCTTGGTTTATTTGTGTTTTCTAAAGTTTTGACAATGAAAAAAGTCTTTATTATAATGTCTGGCAGAGGTGTGGCAAGAGAGGACCAGGCTCAGACATCCTCTGGATTGGGGCCCTTAGCTGTGAGAAACCCAGGCACTGAGATTCAAAGGGGCTTTGAGTTATTGTGAGAAGAGGAAGAGAACCTCAAAATAGATTTCACTGATGCCACACACAAACTTTTTAATATTAGTGTGCAAGGTTAAGTCTTGGCAAATAATGGGTATCGAATAAAGACTTCCTTATGTGATCTTCCTGCCAGGAAGCCTCCAGTCCTTCCCCACTCCATGCTCCTCCTGCCTAACCCTCGGCTTCATGCTGGGGTTTGGAGTCTCCTGAATCAGGGGTCCCAGGCACATTATCTCTTAGGAGCTTCCACTGTCCCTTCCCTACTGTTGTGACGTACAGAGGATGGATGCACAGTGTTCGTCTCACGAATGTCCCTCCTGATGGACCAGAAGCTCCATGGGATCAAGCATGATGAGTATTTTGTTTCCTGTGTTTCTCAAATACCTAGTAGAGTCTAGGGCAGAGGGGGAGTGGGATGAAGATTTTTGAATGAACCAAAATGATCAAATAGAGATAGTTCCCCTGATCCTAGTGGACCATGCTTTGCAGGAGGACAGTCCTGTGGGAAGGAAGGGAGGATGGTGTGTTAGTGCCTCTGCTGTGGGGTAGCAGAGGGTCTTGCTGTGTTTGGGGGACCAGGAGGCCCCTTTCCCGTGCCTCATACACTTTGTTTGGTCTTTTCCGTCCTGGACCCTCAGGCATCACCACATCCCCGCTCCTGGTTCTCTGGGATGCTGGGAGGCAGCACGGGCCTCGGGAGTGGTGGATTCTGTCCTGCTCTCCATTGTGTCTCCTTCCTACTCAAGGCCAGCTACAGTGATGTGGGGAGATGGGCCTCAGGGAAAGTCTCCGTCTTTCTGAACTGTTACCACCAAATGTCACAGATGGGTGGCTCCTGATGAAGACAGCATTTCCTCTCTTCTGGACTGGGATGCCCAAGACAAGGCTCCTGTACCCAGGGACAGCTTTCTTGCAGCATCCTCACTGGTGGGAAGTGAGAGGGGGAGACAGGGAGGGAGAGAAAGGAAGGGAGAGGTCCACTTGTCCTTTTATACCAATCCATCCCCCTAACAGCATTAATCCATCCACAAAGGCAGAATCCTCTTGGCCTGAACCCTTCTTAGAGGCCCCACACTTAATCCTGTCCCCATGACAGATAGATTTCAACCTGAGTTTTGGAGGGACAAGCATTTCAAGCCATGTCATCAAGTTCTAAAGTACCTATCTTCAGCATGACAGTCACTCCTGCAGATAGGAGGCCACACTTAAGTTTCCAAACCCATGTGGTGCCAAGGTCCCTTGTGATGCCCAAAGACTGAATCACAGCCTGGGATCCAGGACTTAGCAACATTCCCAGGTGATTTTCATGATCAGAGGAACCTAGAGAATGCTTATTAAATGAACCGGGTAATTAGCCAGCCATTAGAACCTCAGAAGTGGCCGCATACCTGGGGACCTTGCCCTGGGTCTGGAGGCCTTGGCTTCTAGCTTGGCTTCCCCAACTTCTTCCCTTCCAGGGGCCACTGGACTAGGTGTGGTGGGTGGCAGTGCTTCTGCTGGATTCTGCCACATCCTAGGAAGTGGGGAAAGCTGAAGAGCTCAAGGTGTCATTTCCTGGTCTCTCCTCTTGGGGTAAAGAATGGCCTCAGAAAGGCGTGTGCTCTAGTGGTGATGGACTATGGAGATCCTGCCGGGCTCCACCCCACCAGCTTGCCTGATTCCATGCCAGAGTCTTCTACTAGCCTGACGTCCATCTTCAGGCCTCATTCCCTCAGACAAGGAGAAACGTGGAGGTTTGGAGAGAAGCAGGAGAGAAGTCTTTCTTTAGTGACTGACACCTTGGCGCATGCAGGGCACTCAGAAAGGAGGGCTCAGCTCCACCATGAAGGAGGTGTTCCAAAGCCATTGGTTTAAAGGTCACCAGAACGGTGGAGTTGGACCCCCACTCAGCAAACAGCTGGCAATGCTACAGTGAGTGAGGACGCTGGGACCATCTGTTACTGTTTTCTAACATGGTGCAGTGGACCATGGAGGGGAGATGTTCTGATACACAGGAAATGGAATTTCTTTGCACGACAGGACACTGCCAAGACTCCTTATTTGGTCTGGTTCCATGTCGGATAATGGGTCAGCAGCCGAGCGTGGCTTCTGATCATCTGTGTTTTCATTGGCATGCACTTGTTTGGTTGGTCTTAGTTCAGTGAGACTTCTCTCTGGCTACGTCACTGTGTTTCAGTTTGCTGGGACGGAAGCACTCCTACAAATTCCCCCGTGAAAGAGGCAGGTGGCCTCAGCCGGTCTACCAAGCGTGGCCCACGTCTGGCTCACCTGTGGAAAGGAGACCTCCCAAAGATAGGGCCACAGGGAAGGGTGCAGTTCGACTCCTTGGAACCCAGTTTTTCCCTTCCATCCTTTGTTGTCTAGCCCATATTCAAAAACTGGGGTACGGTGGGGCCAAGCCTTGGCTGAGGGACAGTGTGGACATAGAGTGCACTGGGAACCAAAACTTAAGATGTTCTTTCTAAATTTAACTGGCCTCTGAGGCATTTGATACTATGGACTGTGGGGGGCGGTCTCGCTGAATGACCGGCATTCTCCTTCCCATGATTGGAGAGGCTCTGTGGGTCACTTTTGTACTGACCTCAACATGGCCCCAACCGACCCTCGAAGTAGCAGAATGTGTCTTCAGAAGTAGGCGTGCCTCCCTGCAGCCCCATGGACAGAGCTACGCTCACCTGTTCCTTTATGATATTACCCCCTTGCCCTGTTTGGGATAGAATGTTCCATGGAAACGCCCTTTGTGTGTCCCCTTCTCTTGCTCTGCCTTTGGGTGTGGCCTTCCTAGATGTCAGCCAACCTGCTGACAGTGGACATCAGGAAGCTAGACTCAGCCCCCTGAAACCTGACCCCTTGCCTCATGTGAATGGCTTCTCCTCAATAAAAGGGGTCAGCATGCGCTCACTCTCTCTCTTTCTGCAGACCCTTAAGGTCAGAGGAGCCATCACAGGACCCCCAAAGATAAAGGTGTCTCTGTCTCCTGTGTGGTTACTTCGTCCAGCCCAGTTCCCCTGGAGTGACCCTGAGTGTTTTAGTCGTGAGGAATGCGACAATGGCCACCTCCTCTTTCTGGAAAGCTTGTTTCCCAGACTCTGCCTGGACTGCCTATGACCTTGACTGTGACCTCCAAGCCCCTGCTCCCAACACTGTCATTGGAGTCACATTACTTCCTGAACTGTAGAGATGCTTAGGGTCTCTGTGGACCGTCTGTCCTGGCTCATCTTTTGTCATGAAGCTCATCTGCCTAGTGCTGAGAAAATGATCTTTCTCCCCAAGGACTCTCCCGGTTTTGTATATTAACTTTTTAAAACACATTCTGTTGGTGCATTATAATTGTACATGATAGTGGGATTCAGTGTGCCATAGGCATACATGCACATTTTTTGACCAATCTCCTTTTCCCAGTACCTTCATTTTTCCCTCCCATCCTTCCCCCATCAGCTTGTTCTACTAATCTCTCTTCCATTATCTTTATTTCATACTATATAAGTGGGACATTGTAGCTATATAAGTGGGACACATTGTTGTAGATTTCATTCCCCAGTACTTTCCCATGATACTATGATACCACGTCCTCCCTCCCTCTCAATCATCTCCCTCTATTTTATTGGTTTCTCTTCTATTTTCATAAGATCCCACTTTAATTTACATACTTTTTCTCCCTCCCTAGCTTCTTCACACAAACAAAAACATTTGACCCTTGACTTTTTGAGTCTGGTTTATTTCACTGAACATGAAGTCCCATCCATTTACCAGCAACTGACATAATTTTATTATTTTGTATGGCTAAGTAAAATTCCTTTGTGTATACATACCCACATTTTCTTTATCCACTCATTGGTTGATGGGTACCTAGACTGGTTCTGTAACTTGGCTATTGTGAATTGTGCTGCTATAAACACTGGTATGCGTGTATCACTGTAGTGTGCTCATTTTAGTTCTTTTGAATAAATACCAAGGAGCAGGAGAGCTGCTCAGTCATAGTGAGTCCCCATTCCTAGGCTTTGGTGGGTCTTTAGACTGCTTTTCAGAAAGATTGTATTCCTTTGCAGTTTTACCAACAGGATATGAGTGTCTTTCCCCCACATTCTTGCCAGCATTTATTATTATTTGTATTCTTGATGGCCACCACTCCAACTGAATTGAGATGAAACCTCAGTGTAGTTTTGATTTGCATTTCCCTCATTGCTAAGGATTTTGAACATTTAAAAAATGTATTTGAGGGTCATTTGTATTTCTTCTTTTGAGAAATGTCTATTTATTTCTTTTATTGATTCTTTTTTTTTTCATTAGGTTTTTGAGTTCTTTATGTTATGGATATTAATCCTCGACCCGAGGCTAGCTGGCACAAATTTTTCTCACATTTGGTAGACTCTTTATGCTTTTAATTGTTTGTTGTACAGCAGCTTTTTACTTTGATGCCATCCCATGTAACTGATTCCTGGTTTTATTTCTTGAGATTTAGGGGTCTTGTTAAGGAATCGGTGTGGGCACCCATATGTTGGAGTGCTGACCCTGGTATTCTTCTAGCAGTTGCAGTGTTTATAGTCTAATTCTCAAGTCTTTGATCTGCTTTGGTTTGACTTCCGTGTAGGGTGAGAGAGAGGGACCTAGTTCCAATAGTTTTTAGTTCTTGACATACAGATGTCCACTTTTGCCGTCACCATTTGTTTAAAAGGCTGTCTTTTCCCCACCGAATGTTTCTAGCACCTTTGTCAGGTCAGGTAAGCATACGTAGCTTCCACTCCCAGTTTTTGTACATCAAATGATTTTTCAGGCTTCATTGTAAGTTTCCTTCTTTTCTTGCTTTACAGATTAATTTACCACCAAGTCTTATAGATTTATGACATCTAGAGGCATTTTCTAATGCTTCACTATGAAATGACTAGGACCTGGCCTCTGGGGGCAGACAGACCCCACACAAGTTCTGGTGGGCCATCTGTGTGTTCTCTGGCAAGGCTCCTGGCCCTGGTGTCTCTGACCTGGGGACATGGCAGGTCCCTTCTGGGGTTGGGTGAGGAGGAATGAATGACACCCTTAGGGTCTGGCTTGAGTTCCACCTCCTAGCCCCCTGGGCCCCCACCCTGCACGTGCAGTTGGCCTCCTGCAGGCTGCCACCTTCCACCAGCCCTCCCACAGAAGCCCCCGATCCTCACCATGGTGGTGGGTCCTGGCAGTATGCAGCTAGGGAGGAAATCTGGAAGCAGAACAAGGCTGTTTGGGCAGGGAATTCTGGGACTCCAAGACTCTGCAGAATTTTCTAGAAGCAGTGTGCATTGGCTTCAGGAGGCCCACCTTGGCCCCACAGTCTCTGCACTGTGGAAGTCTCCTGTGGCTGGAGGAGGACCAGAGTGGGCTGTGCCAAGGCCATGTCCATGCCTGACTGGGGCTGATGGTACTGGGAGGAAAACGCCAGAAACTGAAAAGATCCCAGGAGGTGTCAAGTTGGAGAGAAGAGACCTGGGTGCTCCCTCCGCAGACACACTGGCCTGCGTCTCTGAGACTCAGTGTCCCCTACCAGGCAGCTGCTTCACGGGAGTCATGACTTTTTACTCAGCCTGCTGGAGAAGCTAACTGAGGCCTCAGGGCAGCAGCCACCCAGCCCTTCACTGTGGCCCCACCCACTGACCAGCATTGTCCCACCTTAGCCACTACTCAGAGAGGCACGCACAGCTCCGGCTTGGATGAGCCCAGAGGGCTGGCTGCCATACCCAGGGACTCTCACAGCATCAGAGGGAGTCCCAGGGAGCAGGGCTGAGCCTCTTTTCAGGGTAGGGCTGGCCTCCCATGGCCTTGGCTGCCCTGGTGCCAAGGCACACGTGATGGAGATTCGTGCTAGCACCTCTCCATCTACATGAGTCCTTATTTTAAAGTGAGAATCCTCCACTTCCAGGACAAGAGGAGGCAGAATGGCCAAGAGCATAGAGTTGGAGGGCTGGTGCCAAATCCCTGACACCCTCACTGAGGAGCCTGGGAAGTTCAGCAAGCCCTCGGGAGCCTCAGACTCCCCATCTACAAAACTGGGATGCTGAGCATAGTGTCCAAGGATGGGGCCATGAGGACTGTGCTTTGATGCAGTAAGCTGTGTTCAGGGCTGGGTGCAGGGGGTATGTGACCACTCTTCCTGGTGGTCATCAGGGGAGCAAAGCCTCTGTGAGCCTCTATTGCTCATTGTTCAAGGGAGAACATGCATGGTTCTGTTCTCCAAGGTCATGGGGAGGATCCCAGAGTTTGTACATGTAGAAAATAGGATTATTCTACTGGTGTTTGGCTGGTTTCCATTCTGGAGAAGAGGCTGAGGAGAAACCCACGGAGGGCAAGGGAAAGAGCAGCTGTTGTGGTGTAGCCATGAGGTGTGCCCCAGAAGCTCACGTGTGAGACAGTGTGGGGATGTTCCGTGGTGAGGAGACTGAATGTGAGAGGTGTAACACAATCAGAGGATTCATCCCTGACATGGATTTACCTGGTGGCGACTGTAGGCAGGTGGAGCGTGGCTGGGGAGGTGGGCCACTGGGGGTGTGCCTTTGGGTTCATATGTTGTTCCTGGTGAGCAGAGTTCTCTCTGCTTCCTGATTGCCAAGTCCTGAGCAGCTTTCCTCCTTCATTCCTTTCTGCCATGATGTTCTGCCTCATCTTGGGCCAAGAACAAAAAGGCTAATGACAATGGCTATGCTTTTGAAAGCCCCAGGGCTGTAGGATACCTCCCCATGTGTGTCCCCGTATGAGTCCCATTTGTGTGTGGCCCAGCACAATCCTGGCTGCTGTCAAGCACATGGCACAGACTGCACCAAATGATTTTCTACCGCAGAGTTCAGATCTCAGGCAGGTCTTCTCATGGCTTTCCTGCTTGCTCCCCGTTGAATGCCTTCCCTGAACCACCTGCTCCTCTGTCTCCATTCTCATCCTCTTCCCAACTTACATGATGTTCCATCCTGATTTCTCCCCAAGTGTCTGTCTTGGGAGCCCACATAGTGACAGCATTTCCAGAGCCCAGTGTTCTGAACACTTTCCTGGGAAGCAGTAGCCATTTGGCTGGACAGACAGTGGCATGTTGGAAGTAAAAGGGGGTGGACAGTTTCCACGCTGTCTTAAGAGCACTTACTCATCAATGTTAACTAATGGCAGAGGACTCCAGGGGGAGGAGTGAAGGGCAGTGTACACTCTGAGCCAGGCTCTCACTTCCCCAAGGAGAGAATCTAGATGACTGCAGCAAACTGGACACTCTCCTGCCATAGATTCCTACTAAACCTCTCATTTCTCGCCCAAATGTGCTTCAGTTCAGTTTAGCTAAATAGAAAAAAAAAATGCTTCCCCAGCTGAATTTTGAATGGTGATTCATTTTGGTGGAAGTGCTTATAATTAAAAGCAGCCACAACAAAAATGAGGCATTGGAACACATGAGCCCGGACAGTTCTGGAGCCCAGGAGGCCCTGCAGTGATGGCAGCAGATGTGAGAGCAAATTCAACGGACAGCTCGCCTGTGCCCCTTTCCAGGGGCGAGCTCCCCAGATGGGCCAGTTGATGCACGTGATTGTAAAGTGTGGAATGCCTTCCTTCCTCGGAGATGATTAGGCATGTTTAAAAGTCATTAGAATGTTGAGAAGACGGAGGTGTGAATACCGGGAAGAAGAGACGCTGCTCGGGGCCAGCCGGCTGATTCAGACTCCTTCTCCTGGAAGGACAGAGAAAGGAGACTTACATTCAGATGCTGCAGCATCAAGGTCTCGTCAAGGTGAGGGTGTCACAGCACCATCACAGTGACACTGGCTCCAAGGAAAGGACAGAGGAAGGAGCTCATTTCCATGCCTCGCTGCCCACGTGCTCGCTCTTCCAGCTGAGACTGGCAAAGATGGCTGGTGGGAGCCCTGCCTGGCTGGGCAGCACGGGGTGAGACCAGCCCCAAGTTCCCTGCCTTTCTCCAGGTTTATGATCAGCAGCTGGATGCCCCAGTGTGTGCTCAATGCCAGCTCCCTGGGGCATTCACACCCCTGTTCACGTGTCACCCAAGTTCATTTTGAACCTTTCCTGTGCATTCAAAAACAACATGCCTTTGAAATGTTTTCATCGCCTAATGTACTGGGGACATTGCCAGTGTGGTGGGTCCCTGGTGGAGATATTCCCTGAAACCATGCTAGAGGATTGCGATGTAGCACCAGGAAGGTGCAGGTCAAACTTATAAATACTTGCTTCAGAGCCTGTGCTGACTCCTGGAGTCCCCTACAAGGGCCTCTGGCAGTGGCAGCTGCCTGCAGGGGACATCCCCTGGGAGCAGTTAGCTCAGTGCTGTCCCTTTGCCTCCCTCCCCTCTCTGCTCTCACTCTCCTGTTCTCTCGGCCTGGCACTCAATTCCTCTGCTTTATGGAGCACATGATCCTGGGGGGGTCATGTTGCTAGTGGACTGCTCCCAGGGTAAGGAAAACCCCGATGGGAGGCTGGACCGTGGTGCTCTTGAGACAGCTGTCCGACTCTCACCTGCTCATCTGTCAGGTGGGCAAAGCTGTTGCTCTTGTCCCCAGATGGGCAGTGTGCCAGGGCCTGCTCCTTGGGGAAATGTGGCTCCATGGCAGGCCCAACAGAGGCCTCACTCAGAGACTCCTTGCAGAGTGTCCCTGGGTCAGTCCAATTCTTAGCAGTGTAGTGCACTCGAGGCAGGGACCATGCCCTGCATCTTTGGGAAGCCCCTCACTGGATATGAGGTGGCAAAAGAAGCCAAGTGCAGGAGTCTCCTGAAGGGCCACATGCTGGCTTGACGGGGTGGCCTGAACAACAGAACTTCACTGCTCACAGCTGCTAACTTCAGCTGGAGCCTGGCAGTCCTCAGCACTCCCTGGTGTACGAAACCTGACGGTGGTCTCCGTCTTCGTCTTCACATGGCCTTCTCCCTGGGTGCGTGCTTCTGTCTCCAAATTGTCCCTTTTGTAAGCACACCAGTCATTCTCCAAAGGCCAAGGTTCACATTGGAAGCACTGCGGTGAGGACATCCACATATGGACTTCAGGGCCACACAGTTCATCCAAAGATAAGCCAAGGCTGGCGGGCTTCCTAGGCTCTGCATTTCCACACAAGACAACAGGAAGGAATGGGCTGTACTGGTCGCAGAGAGCAGTGACCTCACTTCCCACTTCCATGGTGGTGAGGGTGAGCTGCACACCAATGAGCTGGGAGAGGAGGACTTCACTTTTCCAGGAGCAGGTTGAAGGATCCAAAGACCTTGTGGTTGCTCTCCAATTGAGCAGAAAATTACTCCAAAAATGAAGACAGACTTTAACACCTCATTCATTCAGACTAATGAAAAGGAGGCCAATCCTCAGAAGCTGGAATTCTCTGTACAGAGTTCCTTGAGAAAGGTGCGTGGATTTTTCTCAGACTGAACTCAGTTTGCCCCAGGTGTCAGAGGCCCTGGAGGGGAGGAAGGACCTGGGGAAGGAAGAGATGTGTTAATGGTGAATACTTGGAACTGATTGGGGAAAAGAGGTTTTCAATCACTTAGGTTGTTTTCAATAACTTGGTAATTCTTTTCCCTTAGAAAGTGGAAAATGTCCAAATCCCTGACTTATGAGCTGTTCCTGTAATGAGATTTGATTACATTTTTCAGTAAGGCATACAGAGGACAAGATAGAAAGTCAGGCCAAGATGGGTGCTTGCAAGGAGTGGGAGGAAGGGTACCACGGCCGCTCATGGTCATCCCAAGGTGCACCCACACCTTCCCTGTGGTGTGACTGTGAGCTCCTCAGTCCTGTCCCCCTGTGCCTCCAGCCTAGACTTGGATGGCCCTACTAACTTTAGTTACTATTACTTTCACGAGGAAATTGAAGTGTGACCTATTTCTTTTCCCTAAATCTTTCAAAGGTATCACATACTTCTAAGTTAGACTCTATAAGTATTTATTAAGCTCCTACTGTGTGCTGACAACATTCTCGAGTCCCAAGGATGTTGGCATGAAGATCATGTGGGTGACTGTCGGTTTATTGGGAAATGAGCAACAGTGGACTCCCCTAGGAAGGTGGGGGAAGGAGAAAGGAGCCAGGGGGAATGAAGTCTGGAGGTCTTAGGAAGGGCAGCCAGGCTGGACAATCCCCAGCTGGGTTTTGAAAGGAACCAGGAGGAAGAGCATCCAGGAGCTCATGGGGAGGATCCAGAGCAGGCAAGAGTGAGTGCTCTGGGTGATGCTCTGGGTGCTCCTCAGCTCAGCCCTTGAGAATGTTCCAGGTGGAGGAGGGCGTTCTGGATCCCCCTGTACCAGCTGGGGTGAGAAGCAGGAAGTAAGACCGCAGGAGTCTTCCCCAGAGAGAGCTGTTTGACTTACCTCTGTCCTTGGTGAAGCGATGGTTTGCTTCTCTTTGGGCATGTCACCCCATTATAAACCCCGAACATTATTACTGATCTTCACTGAAGCCACCCATGGGACTTCTGGTCCCAGCACCCTGAGACACTTGCTGGTCACCGAGCATCTCCTGTGGGTGAGGGAACGGGGACGTCTGCTTGTGACAAGGCAGTGGGTCCAGTGCCTTCTGAGAGAGGCAGGGGCATTCACTTAGTGAGAGCTGCCTCTTGCCTTCTGAGCCAGGAGGCAGGACACACAGCTGCACATCCCTGCTCTGCCCCACCCCCAGGAATGAGGGTGTCTTTTCAGGCATCTCCAGGATGCCAAGGTAATAAAGGCAACTGCATTTAATCATTTTCCTAATTAATGTATTTATTACAGCTCCTCGAGGCTTTTCAGGATGAGCACAATGAGCGAGAAGGAAGCTGAGTGGCAGGGAGCCCCACTTTCCCCTAAAGGTTAATTGGCCTGGCCGCTGCTGGCAGACGGGGAGAGCATCCTGGTGAAGCAAAGGCCAGGCGGTGGTGAAGGTGCCTGGCTCCCAGCCTGGGGCAAGGTCGCCCGAGTGCGGGCTGCAGCTTTTGAGAGCACGTTACCATGGAGGCTGATTAAATTCAGCACAGAGCACATGGTGCTCAGAAGCTTCTAGAGAATGAGAACAGAGAGAAAGCAGTGATGAACAGGATAGAAACTGAAAAGGTGCCTCTCGTTGGAGCGTGAATGAAAACAGACAAATTCTGTTCACTGATGGATCCCCATTCATCTCCTCCCTCTGTGGCTGCGCTGGGCAGGGAGCGCTCTTCAGCTGTGGGCACCCATGACTGCAGGTGATGTCTTCTGAACATGCCTGTGGAGCTAGTTTCCACATGCTTGGTACACAGGGCTGCAGAAGGCCCATCTTGGGTTTCAGGGGCTGCAATTCCCCTGCTCCACAGGACACGGGCCTGCACGGAGCACCTGTGCTGGAGTCAGGTGGACATCCACTCTGAATGAGCCGCCTGAGTTTACCCTGGTGAATGGCAGGATTTGTACAAGCAAAACAACAGTATTCACCCCAACCCCACCAGTCCACAAAATCAAAAACAGGATGGAGCACAATTTGAAAAGTGCACGTCAGCAGTCTTTAAACAGATTCTCAGGCTCTGCAATTGTGGGTACGGAATGTCACCCTGGAGAAATAACTACCAACATGAACACACATTTGAATAAGCATTCTGTATTTTTGAACATAAAGATGTTCATCATTCTATTTTAGTAAAAAATTGGACACAACCTCACACACGTCGTCGGTGTAACTTGGGCAGGTAGCCACGCTGTGCCTCGGTTTCCCACCTGCAACTTCATGGTTGCTTTGAGCTTTGAATGAGTTGGTGCCTGTGACCTGTGACACCGGTGCTGACCCCCACCTCCATGCCTTCCTCACTTCTGCGTGATCATTGCTGCTGTTGTACTGGGTTATAGACAGGGTGGCCTTGGGATAGAGATAGCACTGATGTGACCAGACAGGAACTGATGCCGTCAGCAGCGCTGACGGAGAGATGCTCACAGTAAATGGGTAAAGGGCACTGCTGGGCGAGTACCACTGGTTCTAGTTTAGACAAAGGTGTGCACATGGGCATGTGGCACATACTTAACTATGCATATATGTACCTAATGTAAGCATTAGGAGACTAAACAGAATGTTAGCATGGTTGTCTTTGGTTGTGGAAATAAATGCGATTTAAAATTAGTCCTGGGGCTGGGGATATGACTCAAGCGGTAAAGCGCTCGCCTAGCATGCGCGGGGCGCTAGGTTCGATCCTCAGCACCACATAAAAATAAAATAAAGATGTTGTGTAAATAAATAAAATAAAATGTAGTCCTTGTATTTTGCTGGATCTTCCAAATTTTCCACTATGAAAACACTCATTTTTTCAGTTAGAAAAAGGTCTTTTAAAATAATCTCCACTTAACTTTGCTCTATATCAAATTCTGAAATTGAGATTGGATTGAAGCAGAGTCACTTATTGTGGAAGAATACTGTTTGGCTACTTACAGCCAAACCATGTGCCTGTCCAGTGATGCCCGTACACCGAGGACAGGAGAATAGCGAGTTAGGGACTTCAGGCACCATCCAACAGAGAGCTCGGCAGGAGCCGTCTCCACGTTCCCAACACTAGCTACAGAGGTTTCAGGCCTGGGAGGCTCTCAGGACTCAGTGGTGACTTGTCAGGGCCCTGCAGTTGCGGAGGGCAGTGCGCAGGTGCTGGGCAAGGTCTGAGCCTGGAGAGAAGGAGGGGAATGCAGTCCTGCAGCACACAGCAGGTATTCAGGCCTCTGGGAGTGGCTCCTGGAGGGAGCAGAGGATAAACAGGACAGGATTGTGGAAACAAGGGAAAGTATCTTACCTGGCAGTGCTTCTAGTTTGAGAAGCATTGACTAGAGACTGGGGAAGGGTCATATGGACATTTTTTTCTCCCTTAAAATTGAATCTTCAGTATTTAAGGTGCTTATGTTTGTATCTTTATTTTTAAAAAGATAGAAGTCAGACATGTGGCTAATGGCAGGAACTCAGAAAGCTTAGGCAGGAAGATCCCCAGTTTGAGGCCAGCCTGGGCAATTTAATGAGATTGTCTCAAGAATAAAAGTTAAAAGGAGCTGGAGATGTCCTTCAGTGGTATAGTGCCTACCTAGCACCTTAAGGCCCTGGGTTCAATCCCTAGGAAGTTATAAAAAAAACAAAAAAAACCAGAGTTTGGAAATACTAGTGGGTTGTCTCTAAACTCATCACACAGGAGAGTTTTTTTAAAAAGTCAGTGCCTAATATGTGACGGTGGCAACGAGGAGAATGAGGAACAGGAGACGGGATGCAAACAGTCATTTTGACAAAACACTTCCCTGTTGGTCTCATCCTCTCTGGGTCAGCTCTTAAGTGAAGAGAGTGAAGTCAGAATGGGTTCGGCTCCTTTTCTCTTGTGCTGGATGACCACACCTTGGGGTTAGACGAACAAGATACAGTATTAGCAGCGTAGGAAGAGGGTCGACGAGTTTGTCGAGGGGTGATTTAGAAAGCCTTCTCTGCACCCCGTCGCCTCTGTGAGGCTCTGGCAAACTCCCCCCTGAAGGGACACTGGCAGGTGTCGACGCCTGTCCTTTTCCGTTAACCAGACCCTTGGCTCCATAAAGGTCCTAGCTGGGCAGGCTAGCAGAGGTTGACCAATGGTTTAAGTATTTACATTTCTTTATTGTTGTCATATATTTGCTTTGACTATGGCCTTTAGAGAAGCCTCAGCAGTTTCAAGACTGTCTCTGAGTGTGGTTCTGGCCACCTTGGGCCTCCTCTCAGCTCTCCCGGGGCTCAGTCTTCCCGTGACCTTGGAGAAGGCAACACCCCCTTGCGGACTCACTGGTCTCACCCTACGTCTCCCTGCCCTGAACTCGCCTTGACTCACCTTTTCCAGGCCTGGATTTCTTCCGCTAGCCTCGCTGAGCTCTTCAGGCCCCACCACTGGGCCCATTTCATCCAGTGCCCTTGGCTCTCACTGTTGGGCCTGTCTTCAGAGCTGATTTCTGGTCCCTGTCCTTCTCACTCCAGGCGCACACTTACACACTTACCTGGCCTAGTGATCACGTCCCCCAGGATCACACCAGCACTTGAACCTCATCCATGGAAGGAGGACCTGACCCCCCCTCTTCAATCCCACTTTCCTTCTTTCTCCCCCATTCACGGCAGAGCCATTGAGACTGCCACAATGGACAGGTGGCTAATTATCAAAGAAAAGGAAATGGGTAATTAGTACTTCCCTTTCCCCAGTTGCTAAGAGGCTGCTAAGAGCCTCGGGGGATTGGACGATCACACTTTCCAACACAAGCACCCACGCCCTGGATGGCCCCCTTCTGGCCTTTTGCTCACTTTTGGTCAGGTAGGCATGAGAGGAAAGGACACCTAAAATCGACAAGCAGTCTCCATGGGCACCAGCTCTGGACCCCTCCCCTCCAAGGGAGTCTCTCTCTCTCTCTCTCTCTCTCTCTCTCTCTCTCTCTCTCTTTCTTTCTCTGTTCTATCCCTTAAATAAAACTTGTTTTTTTACCTCTACATTTCTCTGGTGTTTATCTTCAACACTGGGCGAGCGAGGGCCAGATCTGGTTTTGAAGGCTGGTGTCACCGTCGTCTTGAGTCCTCCCAATCCTTGCTTGTCACTTGCAGACACCTGGCCAAGCACAGGGTCTCTATGCTGCTCCAGTGTGCCTGCAACTGTGACATCAGGACAGCTTCCTATTTTTTATCATATTTCTGATTACATCACTTTATATGTCTTATAGACACTACATGTCTGATTAGATTACTTTATATACACTGTATGTCCGGTGCTGTGGCTGGCCATGGCTCCTCTGCCCCTTCTCTCAGGCCTCTTCTGTCCTCTCACTCCTCCTTTAAACAGTCAGCTCTTCTGCACAGGCCACGTGGCTTCCCGTGGCAGACCTCGACTCACTTCTTTCTGCCTAGAAACTTCTCTCATTCAAATTGCATGTCTGAGTCTCCTTATTGGTCAACATACCTCAAAAGGGCTTTCCAGAAACTACTCTTTGGCCATCTTCTACACCAAGTTCTTGTGATAGGTGGGAGATGGACAGAAGTCCTAGGCACATGCTGTTGGGGGATGATATATGAATGGAGCCTATGTGCTGGGCTTTCACCTGTTTTCTCCTAGAAAGAAATTTACCCTAAAGCAATTTACCTAAGACTCCTTTCTGAAATTACCTGGACCCTTGTGACCTTCACACAGACCAAAGGTTCCAAGGACCCAGGAAGACAGGACAATTAGAGGCAAACTCCACTGGTCATATAATCTGTAAACAACAAGTGCCAGTTAGTGCCATACACACATTGGTCCGTGTGGATCAAGGTGACTGGGAGTCGCCTTTAGATCTTAGCATATCATTTTGATCCTATCCTTGCTCCATGGGTTTCACCTGGGTACCTGCAGATAAGAGCATGTGTAGTGGGACTTACAAGTCGATTGCAATCCTACTGTCGAGCCAAAGCAGAGGTGGGAAACTTCCCTAAGACCCACAATAAAACCAGGAGAAAGGGGCATGCCATTGCACTCCCCTCTTAGAGACAACCGACCCTCCCTCCCTTTCCCAACATACTTTGTTGTACTTTTACTCTGTTTTGTTTCTTGCCTGAAATCTTCTCCTGCAACAAGAGCCAAGAAGCAGCACGAGCCTGGGTTCCCAGGAGGACGGCAGTATCGCTTGGAAGCAGCAGAAGGTCTCAAGGCTGGTCCACATCTGCTCGGTACCAGGAGACTCTCCCACCAGGAGTGAGTTCCTGGAGTCGGGGCCTGACTCCTGATGCCTCCTGGAGGGAGCCTGGCCTCCTGAGGTTTCCTGGGTGAGCAGAGCTGGGAGAAGCCACTGGGTGCTGCTGCACTCGGGTCTCAGGCCTAGGAGTCAAGGTCCCCAAGGTCAGTCACTGGATTCCACGGAACAGTAAAAACAATGAAGTTTGAGGACATGCATTCTCCTTCAAGAAGGCCCCTTGTGAAGACGTGGCGTCCATGTTTGGGCTGTGAACTACCATCTTTCAACCACTGCTTCACTGGTGTCTAAAGTGAGAGAAAAATTGAAAAAAAAATTGTCATCAGCGTTTTCTCTTATAGACCACACTCCCCCACTGGCCTTTGCCTTTCCTAGACAGTACTCTGAGGCTTTTCTCTGCCCTGACGGTATCTGACAGTGCTCAGTGCTGATGGAGACGGTGACCCAGGGTTCTCCCTTGGCTGGTGCCACAAGGGAGACACGAAGCTGCAATTGTCATTCGTACCTGTTGCCCACTGACCCCCTAAAGGGGAGGAGACTTAATTGTCATCTGAAAGATGTTGGCCCAGTGACCTAAGGAGCTTGGGGGAACCCTTGCTCTGAGGATCGCTGCAAAGGTGGTCTGAACTGGCCCTGAGAGTCTGCAGCTAACCTGAAGCCCTTGAATCCACCCAAGTCCAGTTTAGCCACATAACCACAGCTACCTGTTCAGCCACGTGGCGGTGCGGTTAATGATCTGCAGGAAGACGTTGGCTGGGGCCAACCCCACAGCAATGGGGCGGGTGCAGGAGGCTGCTGCAGGCTCTTATGTTGCTGGGTCTAATTCCTCTCACCTGCAAAACGGAACCTTGGCATCATCTGGCCGGTGGTGATGATATTTCACGACACAATGAAGCAGCAAATGGCCAGCATTTAGCTAGCCCTGGTGCCTGGCACTGAAGGAGTAAATGAAGGAATTATGAAAAAAGAAAATAAAGCTATCAGGAGAGTAATAGGAGCTGTCATGTGCATATCAGGCTGAGACATAACCTGCTCAGCAAATGAGCGTCATTGGTGGTCACTCAGCAGGGACTGACCTGTCCCAAACTGGGTTTCGTGATGATTACTTTTATAACAATGTGTGTAGAACATGAACTGAAGAAGACAGAGCGAGAGTAAGGACATGATTGCAGACGTCCCAGCCTGTGCAGTAGGTAGAACAGTGCAGATGCGAACAGAACACAGACGGAGGGACTTCAGTGGAAAACCCAGAAACCAACTGGAAACAGACAGAGTGGGAAGGCGTTGCCAGGGGAACTCTTCCAATTAGGGCACTGAAAAGGAGTGGGACGTGGGGCCATTTGGAGGCATGGTGAACTGGGGGGGTTCTATGCTCCACTTTCCTCTCCTTGAGTGCCACACTGTTGTGTGGTATCAGCGGAGCTGACACTCGCCCCTTGGGGTGGAGGCTGATAATCAGGCAGACTCCAGGGCAGGGTACTGCCATGCAGAGCTCTCCCCCTGGTGCCATGGCTAAAGCTGCAGGATGAAGGAGAACGGCAGGCAAGAGGAGTGGGGGAAGAGAAAAGCAGAGAGTTCCACGTCACCAGCACGGCAGAGGGAAGCCAGCGAGAGGGGATGGTGAGCCCCAGGCACCCCCCAGCCACGCTGAAGGCGGTGCAGATAGGAGGGCTGAGGACAGGCCGTGGGCTGCCCTGAAGGAGACCCTGGGGCCGAGCTGCAATGGCCTCTTGGTCTGGTCCTGCTACGAATGAAGGTGGGCCTCTGGTGGCACCCTGTGCAGGACAGAGGCACGGAGCTCCTGGGTCCTGCCAGCTGTTTAGGGGGTTATACTTTTATCACAGTGAGGTTTGTCTCTTTTGAATGGAATATTCAAATTATGATTCTTTTTATTCTCCTCCTCCTCCTCCTCCTCCTTCATCTACAGAAAGATTCCCAATAATCTGTTAGTTCCTAAGCGCAGAGGTGGGTTGAGAACTCTTTGGGGAAAGCGGTGCTACTATACTGTTGTTCTCGGAGTCACTTTCCACCTGGCTATAAAATTTGATGGAGTTTCATAATTGGCATCTTTTATGACTTGGGGTTATTTTGTAACCTGAGTAAAGATGACTTCACAACCGTCCCTGCAGCCTAAGGTATCAGGAAGGGAGATGTAACTGTGAAAGCAGTCAGTTCTAAGAGCCAGAGATGCCCTACGAGGATTCAGCTGCGGTCGAGGGCCAACTCCTTCCAAGAAGAGAGTCTGCGTCCGCCCCCCCGGGCAAGTCTGTCCCCTCCCAAGCCCAGAAGACCTGCAGGCCCTCACAGGCCGGGCTCTCACAGTTTCTGCAGAAGCCTAACTTTGATGGTTACCTGGGGCTGTGTCTTTGAATAACGCTAAATATCATCCAGATTCACAGATGGGGGTGGGCTAGCTGAGGCCCACTGCCACCCTCTTCTCCAGCTCCCCTGTGCTGCTCTCGGGCCACTCCTGGGCACCAGGGAGCTGAAACCACATGGACATGGAGACACTGCTCTCTGGGCTCTGGTTGTGCCTTGTGATGAACATTCACACCCCGTGGGCTGGGTGGATGTGGGTGTGAGGAGGTGGCTAGAGCCCAGAAGGCAGAGAGAAGTTCAAGGGGCTAGTGGTCATCAGCCTGGTACTGAGATGCCCACCCGATGTCCCCTGGGGAATGGTGCATTCTGCTTACTGGAATTGTGGAGGGGTTGTTGGGAAAATAAAACCAGAACAAGTATGTTAAGTGGCCCAGTGGGGTCTGGCTGATCGGTGGCCGCTCACTACATGACACAAGCCATCCAGGTAAGGGAAAGGAAGGACTGCAGATGGCCTCCACAACAGGTGTGATGCCAGACCACAAGGCCATTCACACAGACTCATGACTAGGAGCCAGCAAGGGGATGGCATGTCCCCGCACGACTCCTCTAACCCTTTCATCTTATCTCCTATAGTGGTCAGGAAAGATTCTGGGCTCCAAACACCCCTAACTTGAAGGACCCCGTCAAGGACAGCACTTGCTACCAGTTAAATGGAAATTTCCCAAGCACCTGTTTAATTGAATTGCCACCATGAGGGATAAATAGGTCACCAAGCTGTGCCTGCATTCATTACATTTTCATCGCGTTCTTGCAACTTCTAATGTGATTAGAGTGCAAAGACCCAGACAGTGTCTGTGGGCAGCTTAACCATGTCCTCTAAAATTCCTTGGGTTGTGCTCACGGGCCATACCTTCTCCATACCTCACGGGCTCACCTTCTCCTGCAAGTGGCATCCTCCTGGGGTACTCACTGTGAAGACCTAATCTGAAGGCCTAGTGGTTTGGTAGCTGCTTCGGTGTGGACAGAACACCAGGGAGCAGCTGTGCGTCCCATCCCCCACTGCTGAGTGCTTTGGGATGGACGCACAAGGTGGTATACAGATGGTTACAATGGGAGGACCAGCTAAAGGAAGTCCAGGTGGTGTGCTGTGGCCACTGGCCACCTCGCAGACTCAGTCCTGCAAAAGCAGCAGGCAAAGCCATCTGTGTGGCACCTGCTTTCTGTGGCCTGCAAAGACAGGGCAGCTGAGGTGGGAGGATCGCTTCTCCATGGAGTGCTCACCTGCAAAGAGCAGGGACGAGACTGTAAATAAGCAAATGTCTGTGGTCGGGCACAGTCCAGGTCTGTGCGCTTTGCTGGCCTTTCTGCCGGTGACCTTGCCCTGGGCGGTCCTGTGGCTCTATCATGCGGGTTCTGTTCTTGGCACAGCTTCTGGCTAGCAGAACGGAACGGTGCTGGCTTGGTGTTCTTGGGCCCAGAGCTTGGCCCAACTGTCTCCTCCTGTGCCAGGCCAGGAGGGGAGCACAGTTGTCCCTATCCCAGGCTTTGGAAGGTCAGGCTCATTTCTGTCCTTCTTGGCTGTGTCCCCCTGGACAAGCTGTGTGATCGTTCAAGGTTGTCTCCTTTCTGTCATTTGTGAGTAATTCTAGTCCTGTTCCTGGTGATGTGGGGATGAAGTTCCCATATGGAGAAATTTATCTGTCACTTACCTTTGAACGTAGTATGTCCTTTAATTCCCTTCCGCCTGTCTTTTTCTGACCCATTGTCCTTGCCCAATGGTTGGTTTTTTAACCCACATGAAGAAGACTCTACTATCTGCTTATTTAATCTTACTGAGTTCTAGTCATTTTGGGAGAAATGCAAGAAATTGTTCTCTTTCCCCAAATACTTAACTCCTGAAAGTCACCTATAAGCAATTTAGTGCTATAATTAAAATGTAAATTCTGCTTCTCCTAGCTTGTAGCTTTTATCTCACAGCTGATTTTTTTTTTTAACCAAAGAATCTCTAAAAGAGGTACAATTTCTATCCATTTCTTGCAAGGCTCCTTTGAAATAAAATAAAACTCAAGATATTTATCAAATCATGCAAGAGGTCCCCCCCCCTCCTCTCTCTCTCTCTCTCTCTCTCTCTCTGGAGATTCCTAACACACTAAGGAAACACAACTGACAACAATGAAACCTTAAAACAGAAAAGGATTTGAGAGTCCACATGGTTCCCAGGAGAAGAGGGACACATTGGGCCCTGGGGCAGGATCTGCTGGCAGCTCAGATTCACATGGGCACCTCCTAAAACCGTGGAGTCCCTGCTGCAGCTGAGAGCTTCAGTGTTTCATCAGGTCCAAGGGATCCTGGGAGCAGCCCTGAGGCAAGTGCTGGGGAGGCTTCTGAGGTGCTCCCTGGGCCTGCTCTGTGGAGGGCCCCAGCAGGAGGAGCTACCCCCTGTGAGTAGGTTGATTATTTGGTCAGTGTCTTGGTCTGCTCAGACGGCTGCAGCGTATTGCCACAGCTGCATGGCTTATAAACAACAGAACTTTATTTCTCTCAGTCCAGGAGGCTGGACGAAGATGGAGGGCCCGTGCAGTCGGATTCTTCTCAGTTGCAGACCGCCAACTTCCAACAGTGTCCTCCTCTGGTGGAGAGGGGACAGCAGGCTCTCTGGCCTCTTTCTTATAAGGACACTAACCCCATTCATGAGGGCTCTACCCCATGAATGGCATTATCTCCTGAAAGCCCATTTTCAAATGCCATTGTTCAGGGCACTGGGTTTCAACACACGAGTTTGGGGGGTGTGCAAGTATTCGGTCCAGCAAACTGTAGAGCTGCTGTGGGGAGGGCAGAGAAGGGGAGGGGAGGCTGCACTCTGTACAGAGACATCCCGAGTGACCCCCAGCTCCAACCAGTTGATGCCATGTGGAAGTGCAGACTGACAGCTGCCAGACACTCTAATTTGTGAAGGAAAGCTGGATTGTAGCTCTCCGTGTCCATGGGACTCAGCGTGGGCTGATGATCTGAAGACAGGCAAGGAAGCCAAGGCCTGCACTTGTTCTCTCAGAGCCAGCGGCCTTGCTCTGAGGGCTGTCTGAGGAGCCCCATTGAGGGTCCGATGGTGTCTGGAGAAGAGGAAGTTGGGGAAGGCTGTTCCCAAGGAGCCAGTGGAGATAAAAAGCAAGATGGCGCCCGGGTGGGGAAGCAGAGGCTCTCGGGCAGGATTCCATTTCCCCTTCATACCCACTAAGCCTGACTGGGAAAGGCAAAGCTCCCACTACAAAAATCCTGCTGTGACCTCCCCTATCCTGCTGTGAGCCCCCAGAGT